GTAGAGGAAAGACTCCCTTAACTCTGTTTGATTCCAGGCATGAGGCACATCTGACAGCCAATCATGTAGTTACAGAGTGTTAAAGCAAGGCACAGGTGGGAATTTTCCTTTTCCAGAAAGGAGATAACACAGTGGGGAAATAAAGTCAGGAGAATCCTGTATAGACTGTGTCCTAAATCATCCTTCAACCTTTCCGAGGAACAGACATCCACCTTAGCAGTCTTCAGACTACTGCACGTGCTATTTTCTATTATTGGCTTTGTGATAATTTAGACAACTATTCCTGAAATGAAAGCTCAAAACAAATTATAGTACCAGGAATTTTTACCTTAAATAGCAAAATTTTCATTAACCAACAAATTTTCATTAATCACAACATTAATAATTAATGACAACTTAAGGAGATAAATATAACATAAAAGTGAAAGAAAAAAAAAAACCTGCTACTTCCATGAACATTAAGAGATTGAAGGGACAGTAGTAAAGAGAAAAAAAGTCTTAGTTCATAGGTGGAGGAACTGCAAATCTCAGCCCACATCTTGTTTCCTGGGTTGGTGATCTATATCAGCTGTCATCTTCTTCGCATCCTGGCAGTCTTGGAAACAATTGTCTGCCTCAGATGTTGGCTGCTTTGGACCCCATTTAATCTTTAGTGTCAGGTGACCTGTGGGTTCTGAAATCTAAGGGGGCAGTGCTGCCCTTTTGAGATGGGACAGGTGGGCTCCAGGACTCCACTCCCCAGGGTTTGGCTGCAGTGGGAGTAGTGAGCAGGACTTCAAAGGAGCCTTTCCACCTTGGTTCCAGTGAGTGTTTTCGGAGATGATGTTTCCAGTAGACCCAATCACTGGGTTGGATCAGGGGCTGAGTTTCACTTGGAGTTTCAAAGAATGGTACTGTGATATAATCTGGTAAGTCTCTGATATCTTCTGAGCCAACCCTATGCAGTATTGTAGGAGGGAGCCTTTGGCTGCTATGCTTCCCATCCACAGGTACATGGCCTTGGGCATCCTATTACTATATCAAAGGGACTGAGCTTATGACGACCAAATGGTCTAGACCTAAGGCTTAACGGGGCTAAAGGAAGGACTTTGGGCCAGGGGATACCTAGCTCCTCAGAGAATTCAGCAAGGGAGGTTTTAAGTATTCCATTAACTCTTTCAACTAATCCTGATGACTGGGGGTGATAGGCACAATGGAGGTGCTGAGTAATTGACTAGGATGAAAGTAACTTAGCTAATGAAGCTCCTATGAAATGGTTAGCTCTATCACTATGTATCTCTTTAGGAACCCCCCATAATGAAATGATTTTTTCTAAAAAGATTTTTGATCCTCCTGAGGATGTGGCAATACATCAGAGGAATACTTCCACCCGCTGGGATAACATAGAGACCATAACCAAAGCATATTTGTATCCAAGGGCAGGTGGCAATTGGATAAAGTTGACTTGCCGGGTTTTAAAGGGCACATTTGGGAGAGGAAACTGGCCATGAGCAGGCTTCAGAGGCTTAGATGCATTGTGTTTGGGGAAAGTGGGACACATATCATAGGTGGTGACAGCAGCCCTGTGAAAACTCCCCCATCAGTATTTTCGAGCTAGCTCCACTAGCCTGTCGGGTCCCCAGTGGCTGAATGAATGAAGGTGTTCCATCATAGGGAGGGATTAGTTCTTAGGGAATACTGTAAGTCCATTTGGGCCAACAGACCCATAGTCCCATAGTCTTACCAAATTTACATCCCTGCTTTTGAAACTTATCTTGCTTTGTGATAAGCAGTGGCTATCTCATCTTTTGTTAAGCAAGGAGTCTTAGGCTGGCCTTCAGAACATGGATATACTAAGGCCATGCTTTTAAGGACTTGGATCTTAGGAATTTGAGGAGTTAAAACTTTGGTTTTAGCTGCTTGGTCAGCCAAGTCATTTTCTTGGGCATGAATACTGTTTTCTCCACTTGTGTCCTGGAATTTTAATTACTGTTACAGCTTGGGAAACAGAGAAGAGTCCAACAGAGGGGAAACCTGTTTCTGATTTTTAATGGGCTGTCCTGAGAAGGTGAGGAAGCCCTAATGTTTGTATAGCATCTTAAAGTCTTGTGCCAAAGTCTCATCCTCACTTTCCATCTCAGGTAAATAGGTGGCAGGATTGAATGTACTTACACCAACTACATTCCCTCCTTTCTCAGAGGTGAGTAAATCAGATGGGAGAGAATAGTTGGGGAGGCCTAAAGTTGGTGGTTGTTGGATCACTGACTGGTTTCGTAGCCACTTTTGGCACACTGTATTCATCTGTTGGGAACCTCTCAGCAGAACTAGCCATAGGCCTAGAGTGTATGCTCCAGGAACAGGGAAGCTTGGCACCAGCCTCCAAATGCAAGTTGATTCATTTGCCCTCATGGTATTGCAAAACTGTAGAGTGCTGGACACCATAATGGCTGAGAGAGGGGAGGGCCTGCACTATCACTAGGGAGGAGTGTTGTTTCTCCGTCAACCAATCCTCTCAAATAGAGCAAGACCTTACTGCTCTAAACAAGCAAGCCGAATATTTATGGGATAGAGGTCGAAACATTCGGAAGCATGTTTCCTTCTCATCGTCCTTTGGTCTATTCTCCTGGTTGCCTGAAAACCTTGGCAGCATTCTCTGTTCTGCTTTCCCTGGTCTGATATTTCTTTTCTTTATTTGCCTTGCTGTCTACATTGGCATTAGATTTGTAACTTACTTATTCTTACATAAAATCCAAATCATGTTTCAAATGATTATTCTGCATTGGCCTTCATGAGTCATTCCGACCTTTTTGGCCAAAAAGAGGGAAAGATAAGGGAATTTATAATTTTCATATTAATCGATATGACACGTATAATGAATATACTAATAATTTAGTTTTCTTTAGAGCTGACTCTCTGGCTTGAGAGTCAGAGCTCACAATGCAGCTTAAACTGATTGATCAAAGCTCTGACAACACTCACAATCACTGGACCTTAAGTGAAGCGAATCAGATTGTAGAACCTGTTCCCATCACAGAACTCTGGTTCTGTACTGTAGAGGAGGTGGTTACTACCCCCAAAGACTTGACTCCAGAATAGTTGTATTGTGGGACTTACAGGTTTCTCATGGGAAACCACTAAATGATTGTTTGTAATCCACCTTCTCCCCTTCTTCCCCACTTGTGATTTAAGTGTATAACCTGACCTTTTACTTCAGCTAGGAGAACATTCCTCACTCTGAAACTGATTAATTAAACTACTTGATTACTAGCACTCCCATCTCTAGGCCTGCTTTGTGTGGCTCTGGGCATTCTCAGGTTAAAGACTGGCTCAGTAAAAATCCTGTTAACAATAGTTTGGGCCTTGAAAATAGAAGTACCAAACAAATGAAACAATCTCTACTCTTAGAAAACTTATTTTCAATTGTGGGAGACAATATACACATGCACATATATGTATATATCTATATGTGTATATCTATGCAGAATAAATACAAAGTAGTTCAATACAGTTATGGAGGAATCAGGAAAAGCTTTTTGTACAAGGTAGTCCTTGAACTATATGTTGAAGGAAGATAAAAATTCTGTGCAGGTGAAGTGGAAATTGCATGGGATATGGCTAGTGTAAAAATATGAAGAGAGAAGGTAGAGTTTGACTGGACTCCACATTGGAAGAAGGGGAATGATATATAATAAAATTGGAATGATAGATTGGGGCCAGGTTGTGAAGGGCTATAAAAGACAAATGTAGGAGTTTATATTTTATTCTAGAGACACTGGAATTTATTTAGTAGGAGACAGACATGGTCAGATCTATACATAAGGAAAATCACTTTAGCAGCATGTATGGATGATGACTTGTGTGCTGAAGAGATCTGAGATAGGTAAACCAATTAGGTGATCATTACACCTAGCCGAAAGGTATGAATGGATGGAAGGAGTTGTATATGAGAGATATTGTGGAGGTAAATAGCAAGATCTGGCAAATGATTGGATGTATGGGGTCAGGGAGAGTATAGAATTGAGGATAATACCAAGGTTATGAACCTGAGAAAATGGAAGAATGGTGATATCTTTGATAAAAATAGGCAAGTTTGGAAGGGGGGGGGGTTTGAGGGAAAGATAATGAGTTTTGTTTTGGATATATTCAGTTTGAAATGTCTCTGGAACATTGAGCTTGAAATACCCAAAAGGCTGTTGGTAATACAGAACTGAAGTTCTGGAGAGATAACTGGGGTTGGACTTACAGGTATGTGATTCATTGGCATAGAAATAATAATTAAATGCATGGGAGCTGATGAGACCTCTGAGAGGGTCCCAGAACAGACTTTTGGGGGAACACTCACATTTAGGGGGTATGATATGTATGAGAAGGTAGCAAAAGAGACAGGGAAAGATCCATTAGATAGCTAGGAAGAAAACCAGTCAGTCAATAAACATTTATTAAGTGTCTGCTATATGCTAGGTACTGTACTAAGTTCTGGGGATTCAAAAAAGAGGCAAAAGTCAGTCTATTTCCTCAAGAAACTCACTCTCTAATGGGAGGAGACAATAAGCAAGCAAATATGTATATACATATATTTATATATAAACTATATTCAGGATATATATAGGAGATAATTAAGAGAGGGAAGGCACTAGAATTAAAAGAGATTAGTAAAGACTTCCTATAGAAGATGGGAACATGAAACTCAGAAAAGAGATAGATAACATTTAGGAGTAAATTGTGGTCAGTAGTGTCAAATGCAGCAGAGAGATCACCATCATCAGATTTGACAAATAAGAGATGGTTGGTAACTTTGGAGAGGACAGTTTCAATTGAGTAATGAGATCAGAACTAAATTGCAAAGGGCTGAGGAATGAGTGAGAGAAGAGGTAGTAGAAGCAACAAGTGTAAACAGCTATTTTTTTCTCCTAGGAGCTTGGTTATTTCTTACCTCTTCAATAACGTATGACAGGCAAAGTCCAGGATGAATGCTATCAGATTCCTGACCTTACCAATCCTTTTTTTCTCTATTCCTATAGCTGGACTATACGAGAGACTTATGAACTCTTATCTACCTACTTTACTACAAATGACCCTGACTATTGCTGTGAGTGAAATTTAACAAAAGGGTAAACTGAGGCAATTCTCGGTATCATTTATTAAGAAGGGCATATGTTGACAAAACAGTAAAATAATAAGTATTGGAGAAGATGTGGAAAAATTGGAACACTGATACATTGTGGGTGGAGTTGTGAACTGATCCAACCATTCTGGAGAGCAATTTGGAATTATGTCCAAAGGGCTATTAAACTGTGCATACCCTTTGACCCAGCAATACTCCTTCTAGGTCTGTACCTCAAAGAGATCATAAAAATGGAAAAAAGACCCACATGTACAAAATTATTTATATAGCAGCTCTTTTTGTGGTGACAAAGAATTGGAAATTGAGGGGATGCCCATCAATCAGGGAATGGCTGAACAAGTTGTGGTATATGCATGTAATGGAATACTATCATGCTATAAGAAATGATGAGCAAGTGGACTTCAGAAAAACCTTGAGAGACTTATATAAACTAACTGATGCTGAGTGAAATGAAAGAACCAGGAGAACATTGTACACAGTAACAGCCACGTTGTTTGATGACTGACTTTGATAGACTTAGCTCTTCTCAGCAATTGGAGGATCTAAGACAACTCTGAAGACTCATGATGAAAAATGCTATCCACATCCAGAGAAAGAACTTTGGAGGCTAATGCAAATGGAAGCATACTATTTGCTGTCTTTTTCTTTTGTTGTTTTATTTTGTTTCTTCTTTCTCGTGGTTCCTCCTATTAGTTCGAATTCTTCTTTATATCACGACTAATGTGAAAATATGTTTAATATTATTGTATAAGTAGAGCCTATATCAGATTACATGCCATTGGGGGAGGGAGGAAGAGAAGGAGGGATAGAAAATTTAAAACTCAAAAATCTTATGGAAATGAATGTTGAAAACTAAAAATGAATAAATTAATTATAAAAAAGAGAGGCACGTGATCTGATAATAAAAGATGGTTCGAATGGCCCTGCGTGTGGCCAGAAGACCTTGAATTGAGGGTGTAAAACATTTTTATAAGCATAGAACAAAGAAGAGCAAAAATCATGCAACTGGCCTGCATTACAGAGGCGAGAGATTATGATTGATTACTTTAAAGAAAGTGGGCATAGCCCCCACCTGGGATAACAACCCCCTCTATCTCCAGGAAATACTTTTGTGAATTTTATGGGTCCTACCCTAGTCCTGAGGTTACTGATAAGGGCAGACTTACTGGTGACGGGGGAATTATATAAGACCACCTTAACTGTTAAGGATGGGAGAAGGTTAGGTAGTCCTAGCTTCTCAAGGAATGCTGAGATAATTTTTATGAGAATATTGAGAGTTGTATTTTTCTTTAACTGACAGTCATTGTGGGAAAGCTTAACCCTGATAGCTCCCTTCACAGAGGGGGAGGCTGAACTTCAGCATGCATAAGCTTCTTTTCTCAGAGACAGAAAGGAGGCCCAGGCTGGTTATATAGAACACAGACTATAGTAAGAGAGTAAAATCACAGAGTAAAATCAGATATAAAATACAAGATCAATAATTAATTCCCTCAATTGTGATGAAGAATCTGTAACCATATTGGAGGTATCACATCTCTACTGTGATCCTGGTGTTCCTCTTGCTCTTCATTACCACTTTTTATCAGGAGAATATGACTATGCTTCAGCTGTTATCAACCTTAAATTAGGCAGTCGTCAGTGAGCTGCAAAGATTTGACCCCATAGACCAGATTGTTGAGATATAGAATTCAGTCCTTCTGGAGCGAGGAACAACCTGGAATTTCTGGACTTTGTTCTCTTCCACATTTTTTGACTACTCTTTTAGGAGGTAATTAAAACTTTTTCTTGTATGTATGTTTTCTTTCTGATATTTTTAGTTTAACTTTTCCCTCCAAGTCCATGGAATAATCCATGATATTAGGATTGTTCAATAAGCATTAAAGACTTTTAATTGACAGAAAGTCCTCTGAATAGGACCTTGCAGCCAAAGGGTCATGGTGTGTTTTACTACCTACCAGGGTTAATTTCTTCCCTCCTTACATGGGTTAGTCTTGTTTTTCTCTAAAAGGTAACAAAGTTGCCCCAGCGACTTGATTGACCTAGGAAGCTAAGGGTCAAGCTGCGCCTTCCTTGGCACAGCTTCTTGGTAGCCTCTAGCCATATTGACATGGCTTCCTGGTCATCCCAGGATGTAAAAGACTCTCTTAGGTGGAATTATAGCCCTTCAGATTCAGTCAGTGTCTGAAGACAATGAGAGTTGCCACACCCTACCCTGATGACCCGATGTGTTTCCATGTGGATTTGAGAGGATGAGGTCGCTGTGTAGCATCATCTCCAATTCCTCCTAATACTATAACCTTCTGGTTGGTGTCCCTGCCTCAAGTCTCTTCTTACCTCTGTCCATTCTTCACTCAGCTATCAAATTGTTCATGTCTGACTATGTCACTCCTGTTCTCCAGTCAACTCCAGTGGCTCCCTATCACCTTCAGGATCAAATACAAAATTGTGGTTTCCTTTTATAGTCCCTTTATAATCTGGCTTCTTCCTGTCTTTCCACTTTTCTTAAACCTCGCTTCCATGTACTCTACAGTCTGGTGGCATCAGACTCTTTGTTGTTCCTCACAAAAGATACTCCATCTCCCAACTTTAGGCATTTTTCACTTTCCTTCTCACATTCCTGGAATTGTCTCCCTCATCATCTCTACCTCCTGTCTTTCCTGGCTTCCTTTAAGTCCCAGTTAAAATCCCATCCTCTGTAAGAAGCCTTTCACTATCCCCTTCATAATACCTCCTTCCTTCTATTGATTATCTTCAGTTTATTCTGTTGTTTGTACATAGTTGTTTGTATGTCGTCTCCCTCATTAGACTGTGAGAACTCCTTGTGTGCAGAAACTGTCTGTTGCCTTTCTTTGTATTCCTAGTGTTTAGCACTGTACCTGGAACATAGTAGGTGCTTAAAACATGCTTGTTGACTGACTGAGGATGCACTTAAGGATTAGTGTTACCAAGTTGATTCATAAGGATTTTAACTTTCAGGATTTGAAATAGAAGGAACTTCTAGCAATGGTCCAGTATTCGGGCAAAAATAAAAAAGATGTATCTTGTTCTATTTCTTTTTAAAAATAGCGTAATAAAAGTTGTAGCATTAGCAGTGCTAGAAATGAACTCTTTCAAATGACATGGCTATATTTACAAAGTCCCCAATTCCTGTGTGTGTAGCTTTAATTTGTGGTTAATTAGTGAAGTCATCAACATGGGAAATGATCAAGTTTACATCTTAGTTCTTCCTGGAGACCTGGGTCTCTTCACTGAGGGATCTCTTCCTAGCTTATGGTAACCAGCACAGCACATTTCTTAGTTTCCTAAGGTCTTATGCAAATGAGTGACTGGGGAAAAGGTTTCGAGGCAGTCTGTGCCCTGAAGGAAGTTCGTTGTCGTTTTTGGTTTGGTTTTTTTTGACCTTTTTGCATACATTTGAGTTACTCAGAGTACTCAGAGTCTTCTGAGAGGTAGAATATTTTACTTTACCTTACATTTTATTGTCTCTCTCTTTGACCCTAGTTCCTTTGCTTTCTAGGATATCATGTTCCAAGTTCTCTACTTCTTTAGCATGGAAGCTGCTGCATCTTCTGTGATCCTGATTGTGACTCCATGATATTTGAACTGTTTCTTTCTAGCTGCTTGCAATATTTTCTCCTTGACTTGAGAGCGCTGGAATTTGGCTATGATATTCCTGGCAGTTTTCATTTTTGGGATCTCTTTCAGGAGGTGATTAGTGGATTCTTTCAATTTCTGTTTTACCCTTTGGTTTTAGAATATCAGGGCAGTTTTCCCTTATATTTCCTTGAAATATGATTGTTGGTCTCTTTTTTGGATCATGGCTTTCAGGAAGTCCAATAATTTTAAAATTATCTTTCTTCTATCTGTTTCCCCAGGTCAGTTGTTTTTTTTTTCCAATGGGATATTTCCCATTGTCTTCTATCTTTTCATTCTTTTGGCTTTGTTTTTATTGTGACTCATAGAGTCATTAGCTTCCACTTGCTCAATTTTAATTTTTAAGGAATTATCTTCTTCAGTGAGCTTTTGTGCCTCCTTTTCTGCTTGGCCAATTCTACTTTTTAAGGAGTTTTCTTCAGTGAATTTTTGTGCCTTTTTT